AAGTTTGTAATCTCTACAAAACTGTGATGGTTCTTGCTTCTAGGTGTGCGGCGATGAAGGAGACTCTGGTCTGAGTTAAAGCAAGGTCTTTTATTGCCAAAGTAGCCTCGCGTAGGGTCTCCCATGCCAGCTGAGTCTCAGCGGAAGGGTCAGGCTAAGTGTGTCCACGGGCAGGACGGGCTTGCCAGCCTCCAGGCAACATCCTAGGAGGACAACTCTAGCTCCAGACCCGGGCAGACGGAGCTCATTTAGCCCTGGAAGGCCGTCCAGCTAAGAGAAGGATACTCTGACTAAACCTGCGTCCTGAGGGCTTCGCTGTCACCGACCAAGCTGGCCAGGCCCTGCCAGATGAAGCTTAGGAGTGAAGAATAGGGCCAGTTGCACGCACGCTGAGCCTCACCTAAAAAATCCATTGCGCAGGCTTCAAGGTTAGAGCCACATTTGTAAAGTCCTGTAGCGACAGGCAAGGGACGAAACGGCAGGTGATAAGGTGCACTGGAGACGACTTTCCGCTATGCCTTTTGCAACGGACCTGCCTGTCCCACATCAGCCTCTTTAGCCGTTAGTGTGTTTGTAGCAAGCGTGGGTAGAGCCCTTCCCATGTCTGTTTTTGAAAAGCCCAGCCATGATGATGAGAAGCAGGAGCAAAAGCAGAAGCGAAGTTGTGTGTGAGTGTGTGTGTGAGTCCCCCTACATACAGTTCTCTGTATCTGAACTATAAAGCCAAACAGGATTGTTTATGTTTTTTCTTGATGCACTCAGCCTTGCAACTATCTTAGTCACGTCCATTCACATACACTTCCGTGCAGTTTCCCAGCCTGATTTTTTTAATGCATTCATCAGCTATTATCACAGAATCACAGAATTGTTGAGGCTGGAAAAGACCCCTGAGACCATCAAGTCCAGCCCATGACCCAACACCGCCACATCGGCCAGACCACGGCACTGAGTGCCACATCCAGCCTTGTGTGGCTTGTTCAGAACAGCTTCTTTTTACCCAAGTCTAGTCTGGTTTTATATCCAGCAAGGTCCTCACATATCAGAACAGTTCATTTTACTAAAATCTGGTTGTATTTTTCCACCATGTGTTCAGTCAGCAGGATTCCCACACAGGTGTAGACAAATCTTGACTTTGTTGGTTTAATAAAGGTGAGTGATGCACAGATGATAGGACATTCACACAGTGAAGGTTCTGTAGTCCATAGCACAGGAAAAAATGTACTAACGGTGATACTGAATAGAGCAAAAATTGATTCTTGATAGTAAGTTGACACACTCTAAAATATTTCCAGACACAAGATAACTTGTGTTGAGCTCCCTTGAACAGGACTGGGGAGAGCTGCCCATCATCTTTACCTAAATCCTCCCTTAGAAGGCTGAGAGCTAAGATAGAAGCAAAAGAAAAATAGACCTCTCTTGAAATAAAATTGATAGAGACTTACCCATGATTGAATTGAACATGCCTTCTGGTTCATGAAGAACTAGATGTTTGTGAAATGAAGACAGAATGAAATACTACACTTTTGAGCATGCAAAAATAAAGGAGTCAGTTTTTTTAGAAAATGGCCAAGAATAGTAGGTGCTATTTTGTTTTTCAGTTTAGACAGAAATGTGAAATACAGTTCTTAAAAAAAACCAACCACAGACTCTTTCTTCACACGAGTTACGAACTGTGATCAAATACTCACTCTGATTAGCTGCTTCACTCATAAACTGTTACAGTTTACCGTTAATTTTCACTTTAAATTTTCTTAACAGGCTGCAAAAAATAAATTACCCTCTGAAGCTGGTAATCCACAAAATGGCTCAAAAGACCTGTGAGTAGTTACATGTCTTAAAAATAATTAATATAATAGGAAAACTGATGCTGGAAGAATTAAGTAAGAATACTTTTTCAAATCCTAGTGGCCAGAACAAACATGAGGAGGAAGGGCATCTACATACCCTGAAAAAACAAGAATGCCTTCCTGTCTCCTCCTTTCTTCCCCTTTCAGACCTCTTTTATCGAGGAGAAAGAGGAAGAAATCCCATTGCATAATTCAGAACTGTGGAAGATGCACAGTTCCAGCAGGGGTGAAGAAGAGTGATTTTGTTTCCATCTGCCTTTCTCCACTTACTGTAGCATTCTGGGGTGGCTTTTTGTTTTTGTTTTTGTGGGGTTTTTTGCATTTGTTTGGCATTGCCCTCTGAAAAAAAACCCCACAAACAACACTACAAAACTAAGCAAGCAGTCCGAAATATGAGTCTTCTGCTTGAATTGTTGATTAGACCTAAAAACTTAGGATCTTTTGGAAGGTTTTTTGTTCTGGGGGTACATCTGGCCAGTGCCAAGCAGATGAGTGGTAACAGGGAGGAGCAACTGGGCAGGTGGCAGGGACGAGGCTGGGCAGCCCTGTTTTAAGGGCCAGGGGTGTGTTAGAAATAAAGATCTGAGGTGCGGAGAAAGCAAGTGATGTGTCCAGAGTTACACAAGAAGTCAGTGGTAAAGCTAGGTACCTGGTTTAGCAAAGAAGCTTATCTTTTTTTCCTTCTCTCTCTTCTCTAGAAACGCTATTTATTTTATCTCTGGCAACTCACTGAGACTTTAGCAAAGATTATTAATAATTTTGTATATGCAGTTTCTGTGAGATCGTTGCAAAGTTGTGCACTTCTATTTCTTGCGTTGAGGGTGGATTATTTGGATTTTCTTTGTCTTCGAGGTATAGCACTTCAGCAATTTTGCTTCTGCAAAACCACAGGACTGCAACTTCTTTCTTTGTAAAGTTCTTCCTACTGCAAGGAGCATTTAATTTCAGTTTTCAGTGGCTGGCCTTCATAGCCGGAAATGACCGAAGTGATTGAGGTTCCTCATCGCCTGAACACAAAACTGACTTGTACCTTGGTGCGCTAAGGAAACGCTTCATAGTCTGGGGTGACTTTCTGCGCTGGGAAACATGCAAAACCCCGGGGCACATGAAAACACAGGCTTGCAGCCGTCTCCCGAGGAGCTGAATTACGGAGCTACCGCAGCACATGTGAGACAAGGTCCATTGGTGTCTGTGCCAAGGAACGGTCTGGCAAAGAGAGATTACCTGATAGCTGCTGTGCTCTGCTACGCAAACTTAATAAATTTCATGGATTGGTTCATTGTACCAGGTGAGAGCCTGTTCTCTCCTTCTAAGGAATATTTTCTTAAGTTCCCAACAGCTCTACTTACTCTGTACTTAAAATATTTTCTAAAGAAAAGATGTGCTTTATGTCTTTTTAATCTTTCTCGCTTATTTGCTTTAGCCTGTTGCTCATACTCTTAATGAAACTTCTACTTACAAATCTTGAAAGACCAATAAGTGATGTATTAAGTTATTAATGGTTAGTAGAATGCTTATAAAAACCACATCTGTTTAAACGCTTAAGATTCGTATTTTTAAATGTAAGAGTTCTGTTGTCAAACAGCTTTCCCTGGAGAGGGGCAGGAGAGGATGAGTATGTCTTGGAACAGGAACTGGGATGCCAGGAGGGTGTGTGCTCGGAAGTGAGGGCAAGCAGCCGTAGCTTATTCCAGGCTTTGAACTGCTTTTTGGCTCCTGTGCATGCTAAGGGCTTAAAATTTTCAAGAAGTCCTGTGAAGTAAAGCTTGCCTGCTTGTTAACGTGATCAGTTTGTTGTGGGTGATGTAGCTTCAGGGACGCGTAGTTCAAGAGCTGAGGTGGGGATAGTGTCCAGGCCTTTGAAATATCAGACTGGAACAATATATGCCTAAAGCACTTTCTGTGACCTCTTGGGCCATCTGTAAAATGCTGTTTATACCACATCAATATCCTGTTCTTCAGCTAGAATTCAGCTCCAGTGCAGAACTCTTGCACCAGCACTTTTGAGTTTGGCTGTACATGTATGAACCTATTGTTACATGTAAGTTAACAGGGAAGTGAGGAAGGAGAGGCTTGAGCATTTGTTTAGAAGTAAGCTGGTGGCAGTTACAAATTGTGGTTTCCGGGCAGTTTTGCTCACAGGCTTTGACAGGGTTTGCATCAATCTTTACACAGCAAACAAGCTCTTCCACTTAATTTTCTGCTGGAATTGAGACTTCAGTTTGTAAAAAAATCTGATCTCTTCAAAATAGTTACGGAAATATGAAGAGAATTACACGTTTGGAACCACGGTCTGGATTACAGCAGTATTTCCCTGGCTTTAGTGTGATTTAGCCACCACTGGCTGATGAAGACTGTAGCCATTTGCAGCCTGAAAAATCCAACAGGCACTAATCTGGACACTGTATATACTGAAAATGCTAACAGTTATTCTTAAAAGAAGGAATTTCATCTCATCCTAATGTTGGAAGTTTATCAAGAAAATGTCAGAATTAGGTGTGTGAAGAATGCTTTGCCACAGTTTTGTTCCACATTCTGTCCATTAAGCCTTGGACTATAAACTGTTTATGTACTTATGCTCTAGAGGTGTAAAAGAAACAGAACAGTTTGATCAAAACTGAGCTGTCACTCGGTGTCTGTCTGTTGCAGGGATCCTCTTAGATATACAGAAATACTTCGAGCTTAGCGATGAGGATACAGGTCTACTGCAAACAGGTAATAAAATCTCTTGAATTCAGATAGTTTGCCTTGCATCTCTGTGGTCTGTTCCTAAAACACAGTGTAGTTACTTCTTTCTTCTAGTTGTGTGTGGTATTGCTCACCTCCACTTGTGGGCAGCCTGACTATAACACAAAACTGAATGTCTTCGGTTCAGGGAAGGCTGGTGTTGAGTACTTCAAAAATCCTACAGCATGTGAATCGTAAAAGATGAAGGCATTTCTCTAGAAATACAGAGCTTGAGCAATTCACACATTTGCTTTTTTATTTTTTTTTAATCTGCATTTATCTTTTTCTAAATATCAATCTACCCACTAGTTCTACAAAGTCACCCTGCCTTTCGCCTCTGCCCTAAAAAGAACCTGAAATTTCTCTGAGGGGTGAGGAGTTTGTGTGATAAAAATAATTTCACCAATATTGTCTTTGCTGCTTCTTCGATTTTCAGTCTTCATCTTGTGTTACATGCTGGCTGCCCCCATCTTTGGATACCTCGGTGACCGGTACAATAGGAAAATCATCCTTGGAGCTGGTATTTTCTTCTGGTCTGGTGTAACCTTAGGCAGTTCATTCATCAGCAAATTGGTAGGTTGCCTTTTTAGAGGGTACTCAGAAAATAATCTGCATATGTCTTGCAGGAGTCGATAAGAGTCCTTCTCTGATCACAGTTGGAAAGGCTGTCAGTGAGACTCGCTCCCTAAGCTTGGACTAAGTGGACTTTGTGCAGGAGTGCTTTCTGGGATGCTGGACCCCAGCCTAGACAATGGAGAACCCCCACGTTACTGTTGTAATTGATGGGATCTTATTTTTGTCCTGACTGTTGATTACGACCTTACAGTGTAGCAACTTGTTTGGCAAGCTTGTGGTCTGTCGACCTTATCCTATAATTCCCTCTGGGTGTCACTGTAAGAAATCACTAGAAAGTAGGAAGCACAGCAGTGGGATGAGGGAGAAGCAGCTGTGAGTGGAGGCAATACAGACAAATGCAAAAAGCAGTTGAATTCTTATTTCCTCTGGTACATTTGATCCACTGAAATGCACCTTGTTAATAGTAAGCTTTCTTTCTTGCATGGGCTTTTTGGACTGTAACATGTCTTTTGCCTGCAGTATTACTGGATATTCTTTCTTTCACGAGGACTAGTTGGCATTGGCACAGCCAGTTTTTCCACGATAGCACCTACCATCATTGCAGACCTGTTTGAGGAAGGAAAAAGGACCACAATGTTGTCTATCTTCTATATCTTCATTCCAGTGGGAAGGTTGGTTTTCTTGCGAGTAACTGACCCGCTTTTTGAAATCCTGTCTGACCGCGCCTGTGACTCACTATACGCTGAGCCTTGATTAGATGCTTGCTTAGCATGTTTATCTAGAGCTGATTAGGCCTGTTTCTGTGTTTACTCTGATGAAAAATTCGCTTTCCCCCCCTCCCCGTATTTTTTAGGGAGAATCTAAACTCTGAAAACCAGTAAGATTTGAATAAAATAGGGAATCAATTCTAAAAGAAATATGTGCATGGGGGTAGGCAATTTATTTCTGGGTTTTGGAAGACAAAACCATTCCGGTATTTGTTTGCTTGACAAATATTTCAAGAACCTTCTGTTAAATGTCTTCCAATGAAGAATTGGCACTTTCCTCTCCTAAATTGCCATTGTGTCTGAAGAAGAGGTGGAGAAGGGCTTTTTAAGTGGTTCGGAGGCATGTTCTTTATTAGAGCAGGCAGCAAAGGCTGAGCCCAGAAGGCAAATTAAAACTGAAGGAATTCCTGCAGGTGGCTAGCACAGAACAGGGTAAAGAATAAACTGCTTTGTGGGCTGTCTGATCTGGGCTTGCAGTGTCATTCTACAGAATAGGTATTCCAAGGAACAGCTGGGACGTTTTTGCCACCATCTCTAGTCTGCTCTGAGGAGTTTAGACTCTCCTTTTAACACTGGCTGGCAAATACACTAGCATAGACCATGAGGGTTGTTCCTGTTCATCTGTTTTGAAAGCTCTGACAAAATGCATCTTTGTGCTCTCCGTAGCTGGCAAGACATGTCCTTTGAGCCAGTGAGAATTCATTGGTGCCTACTGATTATTCCTTTCTGTTGCTTACAGTGGTCTTGGTTACGTCCTAGCAGCTGGCATGGCAGATGTCACAGGGGACTGGCACTGGGCATTCAGGGTGAGTTATTCATTTCTGCTCATGGGGCTGAGCCATTCACTGTAAAATCAGAATTATCACTGGGGTTTGGATTGCTTAGGTTTGCTGCGTTAAAAGAGGTGAGAAGTGGAAGGACTTTTTATTGGCTGGGTTGTCATGAACTTGGTGTTTAAAAGAACGTTTCCTGCAGGGCAAGTGGAAGATTTGTGCCGAGTTCTTGCAGAATGAAAGCAGGCATAGGTGAAATTGTATGGCAGCCAGGGAAGGGGCTGGTGTTCCTCTTGCCTGAGGACACGCTTTGAATGGTTGTCAGAGCACCAAGACCTCCTCAAACAGAGGAAACTGAAGGTTAAATGATCATAATAGTGGTAGCACCAGTATAATTCTTCAGGAAAATAAAGAAAGTTTGTTTTCTGAAATGCTTTTGGCAACAACTTCCATTATTTGAGGGTTTCAAGAAAAAAGCCTCTTCTGTTCTGGTCATTTCATCACCCTGTCTCTCCATACTGAGCACCTAGTGCTTTGAAAGTACTTTGTCAGATCCTCCTTCCTTACCTATAAAATTAACTAGCAAGTACAGGATGAATGGGCAAGAATGTTTACGGGAATAATGGTTTGATGTCATTCAGGTAACACTGATGACTGCATCAGTGATTCTTGCATTTGTGGTCAGGGTGCTACGGTACACTTTTCTTTCTTCATGGGTTTTTCTCCAAAATCAGAGGGAGCAATCATGTACCTGTATGGTGGGGAAGGAGGATCTGTTATCTTTACTCCAAAGTCACTTTTCTTCTTTATGGATATGACCTACAAACAACAAGTCACATCTGTCTCTGAGCATACCTGCAATTCTCTGGAGGGTTGGACTAACGCTGAGTTTGAATTGCTGTGGAGTTCTCAGGATAAGAAAAAAGGTATTCTTGATCTAACCAGCCCTGTGTCTACAGATAACTCCTTGCATGGGAGGTCTAGCACTGGTTCTTCTGGTTCTACTGGTCCCTCGCAGGACCCCGAGAAGGACAGCAGCCCACAGAGCACTGAGCATCTCCGGCACAATACGAGTAGCCGCTGAGAAACCAGGTGTGCAGAGAACTGCCAAGACTACTTGGTGTCAAGATGTTGTATCACTTGCCAAGAAGTAAGTGATTTTAGCAAAAGAAGACTGACCATTCCATTATTAGAAATATGGCCATCAAATCCTGCTCAGCTCCTTTGTGTCCTGTGATGGATGCAAGATGACTGACACACCGGTAATAAAAATCTTTCTTCCATTTTTTTACAAGGATGCTCTACAAGAGATTAAAAGTTTCCTTGTTTCTGCTGCCTTCCCCTTTTGAGGAGACGAAGGAGGCAAAGTTATGATGGCACTGTGCTCCTATTTAAATCCAACGCTGTTTCCTGTTAAGCTTCCACTTCCCCCTTGCTTTATCATATAGGATAAACTAGATTGGTAAAAGTGCATATTCTGCAGGCGTAGCTTTATCAGTAATTCTCAGTGCCTGAGGAGGGTTGGATCCGCATGTCTCAAGCAGTCTTTAAATGGTAGCTGTGATCCTGCTGTGCCTCTGATACAAGAGGCCCGAGCCTGTAGGACTCCAGAACGGTTTATAAAGCAACTGTCCCTGTGTTTTGGCCAGCCAACCTGCTGGCTGGCAGCCGACTCCTTCCTTTTAACCACAAGAAAATTAAAATCAATGCCAGCTGACCAGTGGGATGGAGCAAACCTCTGGGTGCAGCAGGCTCCTCACCCATTGCCCCGCCGCCCATGCCAGCCCCCGCCGGGGCAGAGTGAGGGGCCGGGGTGGGTTGGGGAGCAGCAGGTGCTGCTGTGCCCCCGCGCCAGACCCACTCTGCACTGCCTGTGCACACAGGCTGCTCCCCAGGGTCCCCAACACATGCTGTCAAAGACAAGCCCCTCTTGCTTTCCTGGGACCTCCTCCACATTTGGAGTGTTCCCTTTCTAGAGGATCTAGTGTTTTCTAATTGACAATTAGATTTGCATCCTATTTGTGTCCAGAATAGCAAGTACATTAGAGATCCAGTTTGTTGAATCACAGTTTATAAGCAGTAAGTCTGAAGAGAATCAAAAATGAACCTTCCTGACTAATATGAAAGTTGCTTTCCTACAGAGATGTTCTTACAACTTCCAGCAATGTTGTAAAAATAGATTTCTTTTTCTTTTCCCTTAGCAATTAATTTCCAAAGCAGAATGCCACACTGCCAAAAAACCTAGGTGGTTCCACTTCTAATCAAGTCCAAGAAACCTTTATCCTTAAAGTAAATTAAGAAAAAATAGGCTCATATCTTAACAAATCCTCTAGTCTGGTGGTCACCTGGTCATCTGCAGCATTCTTATTTAGTTTTAAGATTCCATACCTCCCTGTTGACCTCTGTTAACTAGAAAGAGACCAGTAAAAAGTTAATATTCTCCTAGAATATGGCAGGAAGGAGAAAAGGTTTGGAGAAGTTTTTTAAACGCTTACCCTTTTGTCTGAAAACCCTCTTTGCAGACTGAAAGTCTATTACTTACTATTACTTACTTGGGTAGGGTTCAGGAGTGCTTCAGCTACTGCATCTTAACAGTTTAGAAGACCCGGGTGTTACTCCCATTCATATTGTCTACACAAACAACTTAGAATTATCCTGAGGCATTTACACTTGCACACAGAACGCTTTCATTTAGCTACTAAACCATTGAATTCTTGTCTGTTCTATATTGTGGTAGTTCTGCTATTGAAAATTTCAGGGCAGTTATTTTAGCAAAAGCTGGCAACGAAACCTGCAAGATACCAGGACTGGAATTTAACATGAAATCAGTAGGTCATACTCTTCTCTCGAATTACTTTACTGTTGAATTTCATAGATGAAGTCCCACCAAAATTCGTGTCTTCATGGGAATGCATTTTGATTATGTCTGAATTAATTGTTTTATTATTGCTTGAAATCCTGAATATCGCAGGTAGGCTTTCCCTTTTTCCTCTCATGCCATTCTTTCCAGTATCTCTCATTTCTTTCTTTTAACTTTCAGTTGGAGTTTTGTCTGGTCCTCTCTGGGTCTGACTGCCATGGCCTTTGTTACTGGAGCCCTGGGAACGTGGATACCACTGTTTCTTTACCGGGCTCAGGTTATCCAGGGCATTGTATCACCGTGCCTCCAAGAAACGTGCGATTCGTCTAACAGGTGAGGGGCGTGCAGCTGTGGAAACAGACTTGGAAACGCTGCACAGGGCTAAGTCACAGTTTGTTTCCAAAGGCAGAAAGTAGGATGTTACTGTGAACATTTCTTGTGAAGGCAATTGGGTGTGAATGTTAGACTAAGCTGCTTCCAGGGATGCTGAGACGCTCCTGCTTGTTTGTTTATAATCACTCAGTTAACTGTAAAGGTGCTGCCAGCCCTGTTTAAGCAAAGTGGAAGGAAGCAGCAACAGGAACACTTGCAGGGAAAGGAGCAGCTTTAGCAAGGGGACTTCTGTTGACAATCAACCGTGCACCCCAAGTTCCTTAAAATACCCATTTAAGTATGTTTAAAACTTGTTTTCCGTAACATTCCTATTACCTTCTTGTTAGTCTGCCCTGTTGGCCAGGTCATTGGGACTCTCAGCATAAAGCAAGTTTGATGAATTTGATCTACTATCATATAATTAGATCAAACCAGGATAATTTGATCTTGTGAGTAACTGCCACAGAGCTCTGCTTACAGAGGCTGTCCAGACCAGGAAGGATCCATCGCTAAGTGTCAAATGTTGGATGGGCAAAGGGAATTTACAACAAGAGAAGACTTTGAATAGGATAATTTGATCTTGTGAGTAACTGCCACAGAGCTCTGCTTACAGAGGCTGTCCAGACCAGGAAGGATGGGCGAAGGGAATTTACAACAAGAGAAAACTTTGAATCATAATACAACTTTTTGGAGACTGCTTTTCCTCAGCAAGGAAGAGAATTTTTTTTCCCTAAAATGGGTTATCCAGAAAAGAAAAATGCATTCACTGCTCCTCCGTGTGTCTTCATGGCTGCCCTCAGGAATAGTGAACGCTGGGACACCTCTGTGTACTGGCTCCCTACCAGTGGCCACCCTACAAGTGCCTTTCTTATGGTTTCACTCTCTGCCTTCATGACAGATTTCCAAGAACTAACTGCTTATTACAATGTCTTTCCAGGTAAAGATTGTTAAAGGGAAAAGCAATAATCAAACTTCGAGTGTGTCCTTTGCTAATTGGGTTCTTTTGCTTTTCTGCAATGGAATAACTAGAGTCAGCTACACAAATGGTCTCTGCGTTGCAGTGTAACTGGACAGATCAAATAGTTGTCCACAGGTACTTCAATGGGAAATGCAATTGTCCTTCCGTGGATGCCACCATTGGCTCCTTACTTCATAGTGAATAACACAAAGGGAGTGGACTCAGGAGTCTGGCTCAGGGTAGGCAGAGAAGGGAAGCCGAACAGTTTAAACCATTCGGTTGTGTCTGTTAATAGATACAGTTTAAATAGTTCCTTTATTAAACTGAAGGCGTTCGCCTACGTTCTGTTTTCTAATCCACCTTCTAAATTATTATTCCATTACTGTTGCTAGAGCAGGCATAGTCTTCAGGGAAGTAAAACGGAGCACCTGATAGTTTAACCTCATGTACTGCTTCTTGCAGGATGCTTTAAAAATAACCTTGGCATAAGCCAGTGCCAGAAGCAGCATAAGGCCAGTTTTAGACTGATATTCCAGGGGGATGTAAAGAAACATAATATAAGCAACCATGTCAGCTGTAGCTGATGGTGCTGGAAGAATTTAGCTACACATTCCCAGAGCTGCCCAGGGATACTTTAAGGTCGTTATTCCCTCTGGCTGTTCAGCACTTTCAGGCTTTCTTTAAAGATCAGGGCTGTGTCACTTAGACTCCCTGGAAACACATATTCAAACAGTGCCGCAGCAGACTCAGGTCTCAATCCTTTCAAGGTAAATAAATAAGCAGTATGAAGTTTTTATTCAGGTCTTTGTGCAGAGATTTTCAAACAGAGCAGACAGATAAGTGAGCATTCTCAGACCTTAAAAGATCCAATAGCAGCCTTTCTCCAGGACTAGGCTTTTGTGTTTTACCGTCAATCGAACTGTACTTAGATGTAGTTTTTGTTGTTCCCTTTTCTTCAAACTACAGGTTTATTTCAACTGAAGTTTACAACACGAGAATCTTCTAAACACAATTCCATAAATTCTTTGATCAACTAATGTCACCGTAGCACTTGCCTCTCCCAGACAAATCTCTAAAATAGTTACTCTGCCTAGTGACAGTCTGTATTGTCACTATCAAGTTATAGTGATTGGTGGATCAGAATCCTGAAAAACTTACAACGAGACTAAAAACACACTGAAAGTTTGTTACCCTGTACAGCAATACTCGTTTTTCTCTTTCTTGTAGAGTTTTTGAGTTCTTCCTCATCAGCCAGAAAGAAATTAAAAAGTAAATGCACTGTAGTTTAAAGCCACAGATCATATCCTAGCTGGTTACTTTGCAGTCAGGGGAAGCTTAGGAAAACATACAGAACTTGCCATGTAGCCCTCTGAAATATTTAGAAGCACAGTGCTCCTGTCCCCGTTTGCCTCAAGAGAATTATGATGCATTAAACAATCAGTGGCACCACTGGTCGTGCAGCCAGAGACTTGCTTTGTCATTAGGATCTCATTTGGGACAGAGAGAAAAGCATATGCAGAAGTCCCTTTGGAAGCTGAATCTTCTAAGCTCTTCAAACATATACTTTTAAAACATGATTTTGCCATTCCTAGAGAACACATTTGCAGACACACAAAGCGGAGTGGCATTTGAAATTCTGCATTCAGAAAATACTACATCGGACTATTCAGTATTCTTTGAACACTTCTGGGAAGTGGGAGCTGTTTCCCATAGTCAGAGAAGTGACTCATCTCAGCTGTGCTAACTAGAAGGTTATAATTTAGATGCATAATTCCATGTGATAGGATCTCTTCCAAGACAGCAGATTGTGATACACAGTTATCCCATCTGTGATTTAGGGATGACTGACTCGCTTGGTTCACAGGGTAACCAAGATGACTCTGTCTCCTCTAAATCACTGGGTGTCCAAGCCAGGTCATACTGAGAAGAGTCCTCCTTGAGCCTGGGTGTGTGACACCTGCTCTGTAAATGGGAAAATATCTGCTCCACAGGATAGAGCCTCAGTTGCAGATGCATAGCTTTGGCTGACGCTTGACGTTAAATCCATTTAGAAGGAGTGGAAGGGTTAGATCAAGTGGAATAAAATTCAAGTTCCCTCTTAAAGATTCCTTTGAAATTAAAGTTGGAAACTAACACCTTTTTTTTTTTTTTCCTACGATATGGTCTCACTATATTCAACTGAATCTTTTGCTTTGTCACCAGCCTAATATTTGGAGGCATCACCATTGGGACAGGAATCTTGGGTGTCATTACTGGGGCAGAAGCTGCAAGAAGATTAAGGAAGATAAACAATAAAGCTGATCCTCTCATCTGTGCCACAAGCATGTTCATTTCCGCTCTGTGCCTCTACATAGCTCTGATGGTGGCCCAGACAAACATCCTTTCCACTTTTGTAAGTCCCAGTCTGTCTGTCGTTAGCAAAATATCTTCTAGGGTCCTGGGGAGCTACGAGAGGGTGATGAGGAGGAGAGGGGTGGCTTTTGCAGAGTTCTCTGCAATCTTCTAGACCATGGAGAGGTTCCAGTGCCTTGTGACAAGGAGGCCCAGCTAAGCACTGTGCACGCTGCTCAGGTACTGCCTGCACCTGCAGTCTGTCCTGTGAGAGCTGTGTTGGGCATCACTTGGCCCAGTCAAAAGGGCACTCAGAGCATTACAAATTAAGGCCTCGAGATTTCTAGAGTACACCCACCCTAAAGAACAGTATAGTAAGCCTATGGAGTTAGCTGCATGAAGCTAGAGAGGCCCTTATCCAAAAATACAGTTAAAGGAATGCTCAGTCTTATGTTAATTCCTGATGCTATGTGGCTAATTTGGTATTGCTTTTTTTTTTTGTTTTTTGCTCTCTGAGTACCTAAAATGTGGCGTACTTGTGGTTGTACAACATGCATGGTTCTTGCTGGGATTAATTTAGCCATCACCTTCAAAGCCCCAACCCTCTAGCTGATCTTCAAAGTCAAGCTTTTGGCAACGCAAACTGAAGTATAAATCACTTAAATTCTGTTCTCAGTAAAGGGAAAAACAAAACTTACTGGGAATGATGAATAGTTACAAAAACTCCCTGTGAGAGAGAACTGAGCATAAATCTTATTTTAACTATAATCTGGTAACAGCCAGGAAAAGACTCCAAGCCTTTTTCCTGTGACTCCATAGCCACAATTACCATGATTAACATAAATAAGAAGATCCAAGTAAAGTTAATTACAGTAATCAACAGTTCTCTGCAAAAGTGCACTTCTGCAGGTTTTTTTGCTTCTAAGAGTAACACTTATTCAGAAAGGTTTTCCTTTTGACTCCTCAGGAATGTGTATTCCTCTGGAAAAATGCCTTTACTCCAAGGGAAAAACCAAATGGAATTGCATGTCTGAGTGTGTGTACACAGAGGAAAATGTGAAATTGAAGCTTATATTTAGATTCAAGAACGGAGATCTGAGTGCTGAAAGAATTGGCCATTTTCTTATTCTCTTTCTCAGGTTCCTACTTAATCCCACTCTGAGTATATTCTTCAGTTCTTTTTTTTTGTCATTAAAGGTGAAGAACAACAGTTTCCTTTGCCAGTCTGTTTTAGATGAGTGAATTAATATATTGGTTCTGACTTACAAAAATACAGATTTTATTAGGACTGATAAAAAGAAATTTGTTTACGACATTTCTTTCCTTGCAAATGGCATTCTGCTTCCCACCAGTGTGTTACCTGGGAGGAAGTTCTGGACTGGGACGTGGATAACTGTGTTCTTTAAGTTTCTTCCCATGGGCAGACCAGTTGGTCTTTTAAGCAGGGACTTTGCCATTTTATCTGATGTGTTTTATTCGGGTGTTCCAACCTGTCACGCCAACAGCGTGCAGTGGTAATAAATTGCACGTAATCTAAGCACCCGATTCTTCTAGTACTTTTACCACTACAGCTGCTTAACTCTCGCCTCCTCTGGCACCAGCCGTGCCTCTCCTTGCTTTCTAAACAAGATCTGACACCAGTCATGGTGATGTGAGAATTGGAGTGGCGTGCCAGCTGGGGCACCTGGCTTGAAGGTCCCACTGAAACAGATCTTCCATTTGTGTAGGATACAAGCAGGAGCCTGCCTTTCCACTCGCTGCCTACCCAGGCCCAGTGACGTTAGCAAACCTGTCTCTGTCACACACAGTGCAGAAGCTACTGAAGAAAAAAGCAGAACGTGCATCGGCGTGCGATTGCAGAAGTTTCTGTATGGTGTGTTCCACTATCTTGAGTGGCTGATGGAAGGGAAAAAGACAGGTTTAATCAGTTATGGCCAAAGCCGGAAGAAAGTTTTTAAAGCATGAGAATTCTCAAGTTAACACTGAAATATGGCAGGATTCCCAAGGTTTCTGTTGGAGTAGGTGGACTGAAATGTAATGAGATTTCTCTTCTCTTTCTGGACGCCCAGTTCTTGATTTCAAAGGCTACCTTTGAAAAGACAGAGAAAAATTACCTGGCTTTGTTATCTCAGAGTAGGCTCTGTCTAAATCTGTTCCTGTCTCCAAAGCAAGACGAAAGACGTGCTCTCCGCAGTGCAGCAGATGCTTGGGAGAGTCACGACTGAACTCTATGACTGGGAACCTTGGACTATATTTGGTGTTGCAGTAGCTTAGATTTAAACAGAGTAAATTATCAGCCAGGATTTAAATAAATCTCTTTGGTCTTTGTCTCCTTCCCGTTTTACCTTAGCCAGTATTTAAAGGGGGCTACAAGAAAGATGGGGAGGGACTCTTTGTCAGAGAGTGCAGTGATAGGACAAGGGGTAACAGCTTCAGACTGAGAGAGGATAGGTCTAGATTAGATATGAGGAAGAAATTATTCACTGTAAGGGTGGTGAGACCCTGGCACAGGTTGCCCGGGGCAGCTGTGGCAGCCTCCTCCCTGGAAGTGATCACGGCCAGGCTGGATGGGGCTTTGAGCAACCTGGGCTGGCGGGAGGTGTCTCTGTCCATGGCAGGGGGTGGAACTGGATGATCTTTGAGGTCTTTTCCAGCCCAAACCATCCCATAATTCTATGATTCTCTGATTCTATGATCTCTTGCTAGCTATCGCATAACTGACAGAATTTACATGAATTGATGAATTTAGATCTTTCAAGACAGTATTAACATAAAATATGACATGAAGGGCTAATATCCTCTGGGGACTGCAAGATGTGACGTTGGTAGTCCTTATTGCCAGGTGACTTGACAAACAGCTGAACTGTGTGATATTGCTACCCGTGGTCATGAAAACGTTTCAATTTTTGTTTGGCTCAAGGTTCTCTAATAAAAGGTGTGTTGCTTTCAGCTAAGACTAGCATGGTTTTGGTAGTCAACAGGCTGTTATTGCAACAGTCATGGAACTGGAGAAGAATGATTGTGCTCTGTCACTTCCAAGCGTAAGGCCTGCCTTTCTTAGGACTGCGTTTTCATCAGCCAGATACGATATCATAGGCAAGACCTTACACAACACCTGCTGGTGCCTGCTTTTGTAATAGATTTTATCTCCTAGGTGCCATCTGACTTGGTGGCCTGTGCCACTAAATAGATTCTGCCTTCTAGAACTGTTCCAGCTTAATAGCGTAGCTTTAGTGCTTTCCTCAGGTATCGATTAATCTCTACAGCCTGCTCAGATCTACGGAGGTGTTAAAAAAATGTGTAGATGGGGGATTTTAGGACACAATTTAGTGGTTAGGGGAGTGTTGGCTTGATGGTTGGACTTGATGATCTTAGAGGCCTTTTTCCATCCTTAAGGATTCTATGATTCAATGTCCAGGCCTGTCTGAAAGGGTTAATCATTTCTAAGGCCACAGGTGTTAGAGCTGTTGGGGGCCCTACCCCTTTTCCTGATGGCTGCATCTCCATCTGCGATGAATTAGGGAATTCCCACAAGGCACCAAGGCTTTGAGGTTGCCTGTCTCTCAGGATGGTCGCACTCAAAGGGTTGTGGCCAATGGCTCGATGTCCCCATGGAGACCAGTGACAAGCTGTGTTCCTCAGGGGTCTGCTCTTGGTCCAGGGCCGTTCAGCATCTTTGTCAGCGACATGGACAACAGCGCTGAGTGCACCCTCAGTACATTTGCCGACGACACCAAGCTGTGTGGTGCT